GAAAAAGTTAGATGATTTGTTATAATTTAACTTTTTTTTAAATTTTTTCCTGAAATCCCCTTCCAAGCCGTCTCCAGCCATTATTAGTCTCAAAGTGGGTTCCTCGTCATCGAATTTTTAACTATTTGATAGATGAAAACCTTGACTTTCTATTGGTTATAAGTAATATATAATGAAAAGTAAGAGAGAACTATCAACAAATTGTGAAAGAGTGGATGTGACAGGTGGGTGTGGCAGGAGGGGTCTGATTTTCTATTGGATAGCTCTGTAACCAAACAAAATTGAAGACCACAAAAATTATGGTTTATCTGAGCAATAACAATTTCATAGAGTAATTTAAGTTTAATTTGGTACATTTTCGAGGAGTGGTGGATAAAATAGGGATGATGACATGCTAAGACAAAATGTGTCACGTGGGTCACACTATTGGAAATTCAGGATTTTTTTAAATATTCCCTTGTAGAATTAAGCACTTAAAACTTCTATACTATTCAAATATGGATTATTAGCTAAGATGTTATGCTATTCTAGTTGGTATAACATAAACAAAAAGTAGTATGATAAAGTTCTGAATGTAAGACACTAAAACCTTGTGTCATGCTCAGTAAAAGATACATTGGGAAATAGGGTTAATGACCAACAGCTGAAGATGTTCCACTGGTGTAGATAAACTGCAAGGGAGGAAGGGTAAATGTACCGGGCTAAAAAGGAAGCACACACAGAGATGATCTGGATCTCCTTGCAAGGGATCAGATAAATGTCAGGCATGAAATCCGAGGGCGTGAATGGTGGGATGGAGGACCAGTGACCAAAGTTGGTGGTGGAGGAATGGAGTAAGAGGAATAGGTAATGGGGGGATAGTTTGGAGCTGAATGAGAAGAGAAAACCAAGGTTGTGCTGGCCAGTAAGGAGCAATCAGGAGGACCTAACATGGAGTGGAATGGTTGACTAAAATCACCCTGTGAAAGGACTAGATAGAGTGGTACACATAAAGGTACCATTTGGTCCTATCCTGACTAAGAGCATCACAGCCAGGGCCTGTGGATGAGGAACCAGAGACCAAAAATGAGATTACACAGTGTTGAGGAAAGTGGCAGAAGAATCCAGATGAGAAGTACCCCAGTGATTGCAAAACCACCAGAAAACCTGAGGGTCGAGGGACCACTCCATGGAGCATAATGATATGTGATAATGTGGATAGCGCCCAAAACATGATATGCTATAAGACGTATCTGTAGTGTATGGTAGTTGCACTATTCGATCACAAAGTAAACGAGAATGGGTCCTCCTTGATGAATGAAATAAGAGCCAATGGTAGAATCGACTTAATGGATCATGACGAGGCTGTTCCATACAACAGGAAAAAATTATTCAAATCATGTCATATTTCGAGAAGATTCAAGATCTTGATATGGTATGACATTTCTATCTGAGGCCATTGTCCAGTAGCCTTCTGCTGATCGACTCATGCCTCCCAACCTTGGAGTGAAGCAGAATCACTCCAGTGAACAAATGCAAATTCAGACAAGGAGGAGAAAGCAGTACCTCTGCTGTAATGTTGTCCATGTTCAATCGTCGAGAAGGGAAGGAGGAAGTGTAAATGGGAAGTCCAAGGATCCAAAGCAAGATTCCATTGGATGTGCAATGTCCACAGAAATAAACACAGACGATCACCCAAGGGGATAAGGGCTTCCATGGAAGCTCAAGTCCCCAAAAGCAGTGAGAGAGAAGAAAGGGTGTGGAGAATTGAAAGCATTGAATGCAGACGAAGTGGAAAAGGTTGGGCCTGACTGAGATAAGTGTTGAAAAACATACCCAAGTGGACAAAATAATGGGTAGGAATCAGGAATGACTTCTCCATTTTGTGAATCCAACCAACACAAGCTGTTTCTGTCAATAGCAGACGAGTATGTTGAGAAGACACTAATATGGAAGGAGCTAACAGAAGCACAACTCTCGAGCATGCATAAGTTGGGATAAAGCTTTGACCACTCGAAAAAACACATAAGGTGCTAAAGCAAGCATGAAACCGTATTTACAGGATCTGTCCACCACAAAAGCAAAAATGACTCCAACTGCTGGAAGTCAAGAAAGGGATCAAAAGCCTGATGAATAAACCAATGCATAAGGATCAGAAGCCCGTGATGGACGAAAAGGCAAGCTGGCACCAGCCCTCAATTAAGAGATGAATGCACAGCATCTACTCTAAATTCGGAAGAAGGATGGAAGACAAAGTAATTTCACGATGGAGCAGCATGTAACTTTTCAGAGACAGGATCATACTAAACTAGGGATACAGAAAAATGTAACAACCCTGATAAAACATATCCATAATGGTTACGGTTGGCCTAGCAGATTCCACAGGAGAGGTACAGGTGTTTAAAAAAGCTGTCACAACCCTCAAAATTATTAACAGGCACTATAGGGACAGAAGGATCCCATACACTGTCGGGAAAGAGGGATGAAACATACAAAATTCAACTCCCTGCAAATGATGGCCAAAAAATCCCTAGGTGAGACACCCACACCTGAAACCTGTAGTGCAACAATCAAAGTTGTGATAACTGTAGCTAAAGTCATGACACAAAATTCCGAGTTCATAATCAACTGTGAGAAAAAGCAAGAAAAAATATAATATAGGTAAGTTTTTTATGATAAACTACAGTGAAAAAACTGTAGAAAAGAAATGATTAAAAACGTGAAAGCCTACTTGGGAAAAAATTAGATAAAAACTTGTGATAAATGAAACACATGCAGAAGACTACTTCCAAACGAGAAGTGATGGTAGAATTGAATAGAGGGAGTCATGTGCACCAGGGGGTATGTCGTACTCTTATTAATGAAAGGTTGTCCCATGATGATGATGCAATGAACTTGATTGTGGGGTATGTGGAAGTTTCAAGGCTTGTGGCATGCAAAAAAAAAAATTAACATATAGAGGACAGCACTGAACGAGAATAGCTATTATGTGAGAGGAGGTATAGTTCTGTATCAGAATGAAGAATTATTTTACAGGTACTTTATTTTTTGTACATACCCATCCTATGGATGGGAAAGCTGTGTATATAGTTACTTGAAAATACAGTTTAATACAGAACTTTGATCAAGAAAGTAGCTAAGTTCTCTTTTCCCTAGGTTATTCACCTATGATATGATGTATCCTTTCTCATAGGAAAGAATTCTGTAAAACAGAATATAGTATGTGAAAGTAGTTAGTGATCTTTTTCACTGGCAGGGCAGATGGTATCTTGAGATAACAACCTCTCTTATTTTTCAATGGGAATGATGTAGTAGCAAAAGTGCCCTGGGAAAGAATAGTATTACTGTTTTGGGTAAATCATGTCAACTTTTCTTAGTCTGAAACAGTTCTTAAGGAGTCCACAGAGATCTCTGGAATCTCCAGAATGTCACTATCTTATGTCACATTTAGCACCTTTGGTTGTTTTGTTTTATTAAATAACTGCAGACTGTTTCACGTTTCTCAATCAAAGTAAAAGAATTCAGATTCACTCCTGCAAAACATTTTTTGTCAAATTTCCTGTTATTCTATGGAATGTACAAATTACTTTGAAGAGAAATCATTGCATCTGAGAATAATAAAAAAAAAACAGTAGTACAATTGTAGTTTAAACTAGCACCACATACAAACCACAAATCATTTTAGAAATGACAAATACAGAAAGAAAAAAATCTTCCAAATGACACTCCTTTCACTGCTATAGCAATTTCAGTTATAGAAAAATTGCTGTACATTGTTAGATACAGTTACTTCACCTCTTATAGAAAGATTGGAAAGATGCAGTTGAAGAGAATACAATTACTTTGTTTGAATACATAATTGTCAAATTGACTACTCACATCTTGAGTGATATACTGAGCTTCACTGGAGAAGGGAGTAGGTGGACGGTTGAAGCAGCAAATATTTTGAACTCTGTTATGTAACTCCATAATGGTCTTGAACTCTTCATCTTTCAATACTTCTTCAATGTTGGCCAAATCCAAGGATTTAATGCCATTGTTATGTAGATATGTTTGAAGTCTGTCAAATGACATAAGTATTTCCTGGTAGTCTGAAATTAAATCCAACAATTATTAAATTGAACATGAGTTCTGTGCTTAAATGTAGATGAACTTTTCTTCACAACAAATAAAATTGCATACTCATAAACAACATACACCTTGTTACTGTAATATGACATTATCAATAGCAGACCCTAACTGTGCTTTATATAATAAGCTTTTATATAGGCTAATAAACCATGACATTTTTAATAATAAACATTTCATTTGAAATTTATAAACAAAACTGTTGATAGCAAATTGTTGTATAAATGTTCCATACTTGGTTTGTGTAAAAAACAACAACATTTAAAAGTATTTTAGATAGAAAATGTGATAATTATATAATGAGAAAAATAAAAAAAATAAAAAATTGTTGCAACTGTTGCTCTGTGTGATAAGAATTAGCAACCAGGGAAAAAATTGTACTCCTGAAATAACTGCAATGGAACTGCTAAAATCACAATCAGCAAACACAAAGAAAAATATGAATTATTGACCCACTTTTAATTAAACGTGGTGCGAAACTCTGGGATGCTCATTGGTTACCTTGCTTCATACCTCTATGAAATAGAGAAGCACATCAAGTTTATTTTAAAAAAGCAAGATGTTATACACTGGTCAAGTAATGCTTATTCATAGTGTGACACTGTGATGATTATGATGCTTAATTACTCTAAAATTAAAAGAAATTTCACATTGATGTTGTAATTCTGATATACATCTGTCACCAAACTACCAGACTATTCTTCCTAATGAAAAGGTATAAGCCCTTAAATTACAGAAACTGTAAACAAAAGTTACTCTAGTGATATACATCGAGTCAGACAAACTTGCTCAATGATATTTGAGAAAGATGAAACCACATACCAAGCTTTTCTATGTAGTGCTGTTCTAACTTACATTTTAGAAGGGACTTAAGATTGACGAGCTTGTCCTTATCAAAACTAGTTGTTTTTTTACGTTTTGTGCATTATTATTCCAACTTGTTTTACTGTTTTTTTATGTTTAATTTATCTCATCTTGGTAATTAACATACAAAATAAGCAGAATCTAAAATATTGAAATTTTCTTAGCTGAATTTTTTACCAGACATTTTTACCAAGCATGATGTCCACAATACTTCTCAACATATACACATATTAGACATCATTTTACTTCAACTCTATCCTAAAATATATACTGATCACATTTGGCTTTATAAAACATTTCAGCATTAACTTAATTTCATTTACACACTTTATTACTTAAAAATGTCAGGTTTATGTATTTTAGGTTTCATGCTTCATCATGAAACAACAGCAACAATATGTGGCAGGAGATCCTCCGAGGTTAAATCTTGGGGGATTAGCAGAGTTGCTCAGAAGCTTTAGCTTCTCTGCACCCCTCTTATGATGGTGGTGTGAGCTGTACTTGAAGTTTTGTGGTTTAGGTTTACTTAAAGAAAATTGTGTTGACATGGCAGACTTGAAGATGCCTCAAGCACTCAGGAGTCTAGAGAGATATGAATAATGGAGATTTAGACTTCAGAAACCAAATGGCCCCTTTGGACAAAGGGTCCTTTAGGGTGGCAGGGATCTATAAATCCAAAACCGGGTAATCCTTTGAGGATGACTAGAAATACCGACAAAGTAACAGGGGGAGATTCAGAAGGCCTGGAAAAGGACGTAGCTAAAAGCTGCATCAAGTCCAACCCGTGCTTCGTCATGTATACATCTTAACTTAATTTACATAACATCTAAGTTAGATCTATTTTATTCTACTTTCAAATATTTTTGGTCTAGACCATGCAGTTATTTATATTTGTAGGGGTTATCAGGATTTCATTAAAGTATATGCAAGTTACTACTGTTAAGTTTACAAGACTGGTCAATACACATAAAATTATGACCATAACACAGCTGAATACGTAAAAGTTAAGAATAAGGATATATCTATCAAAAGCATAGAGAACGTATTACATGTATTTCATCTGTTGTTTACTTCTATTGTCAAAGTAAGATTATTTTGCATATTGTGGTAGTGTGGCAATATAAATCAAAAATATAGCCTTCACATGAAGATGTAATATATGATAAAATGTTTGTGTCTAATTTAATAATGTCTCCTTTCTGAAGGACAAATATTGCTCTTAATTTGTCATGATGTCATTTGTTACTAAATTTCTGAACAAAAGTCTACCTTAAATACTATAATATTAAGCTTGTTATAGTTGTTGACAGGAGAGTTGTATCAACATTATGTGAGAATGCAAGTCTGTCATCAACATTAAAAACTGTGAGCTTGGCACTGTCAATATTTTTGTGCCTGTTCTTAAAATAGTTCCATTACTTGAATGCTATATTACAATATTTCCACTCACCCAGCAACACACTGCAACAATGAAAATTTTCTTTATGTTACTACCAGTCACAAGTGTGTTACAGAAACAACATTGGCTGAGGCAGTAGTCTATCTACAATTCTGACCAATGGATGGAGAAGCTTCTTATCAATCCTAAATGTTTTCTCCCCAAAGCACTGACTCTGTAAGCAGCCAATGTATATTACTAGGTAGAGAAATTTGGTTTTTATAATTTGTTTAATCCATTATTAAAAAATGAAATTTTACCACGTTTTTATCCTTTTCAGAATTCCACACTCATGACAACACATTTGAATTTGTCACATTTTATTTAATGCATTAAACAATAATTTGTACTTATGACTCCAGGCTCCAACTTTTCTTTTGAAAGGTATTAGTAAATGGTTGCTAGTAACTTTTTTCCCCCACTAACAAATTTGGAACTGCTACTAGCAACAACATTATTCTTTAAAATTAACTCTAGCTGTGTCATATTGTATTAATGAATATGTTTATACTCTACTTATATGTATAAAACTTCTGTGCCACATTTTCTTTTCAGATATTTTCAAATATCAAATCTCTTTTAGTTACATGTAACAGTGGTTTTATTTTAACTATTTCACAAAAGTAAAACATGCTCGATTTTGGCAGAAACTGAGGTATCTAGGCCATGCACCTGGATTGACAAAGTCTACATTACCCATTATCAACAGCCACCATATGCTATAAAAGTATTATATTATTAAAATTTATGATTTAAACATCAAAAGTGGATGAAACATTACAAGGTAATAAGCTTAATGTTTGTATTGATCATGGACAAGTTAAGAGTAATGTGATAAAAAAAGAACATTAGCAGTTTACATGATTTCTATTTTCTTATCATCTCCATTAAGCAATCAATTGGGCAAAGGATTTTTAACTACATTTCTGGCCAAACTACTAGCTGGCCCTCTTGCTAATTGTCTTGGTAACTAATCAAATGAATTGAAGCTGCACTCTTACTATTCTCATGTCCTGATACTTAGCCCAAATATGCCATGCAGCTCCAGTGGGGACCACAAAACTGGCATGGCACTGGCAAGTGAAACAATCTTGTTAATCACAATTATGGTAAACTTCTGTACTCAAAATCTTACAATGTAAATGATTAAAATGCATATAGGTGTAATAATACTTGACAGTAAGAATTTGAAATGTTTATCAGTATTTATTTTCTAGTACTTTCTGAGTTTTACCATCAAAACTGCAACACTAACCAGCAATATGCAAGTTTACTAGGGTAATTTGTTTTCTGTAAGATTTAAATTTTGAGAATGTTTGCTTTATACCTAAAATGTTTTTGTCTTTTTTGTTTTGGTCTTTAATATTTTCTTGAACATTTTAGACACATTTGGATACAACTATTAGTTTCATTTGATCAAATTTTAAGCCAAGAAGAGCCTCAGATTTCATTTTAGAGTAACTTACAATTCTTCAGCATCTCAGATTGTCTTAAGTCCTCCAATTATTTTTTCTGGTGCACCATTAATCTGACAGCTTTTTTTTAACTTATGAAGTTAGGCATATACATGAAATAAAAAATTAAACCTAGTTACCAATGATGAATATTTGCATATATGAAAATATACTTATAAAACATTGTACAGGTTCCTATTAATAAAGACAAATATATATGTACATTACACACACACACCATCCACTATAAAATAAACTTCTCTATACACTTATAATACTGTATGATATTGACACACGTTTTTAAGGTACTACATGCTGTCACATTATTTGCGGTGATACTAAAAGTAAGAGTAAAAACACAAAAACTGTCGTTTTTGGCACAATGAAAGGTATAATATTCATTATTATTTAAAGTCAACTAGTTTCAGTAACACAGTTACCATTAGCTTAGAACATATTCAGCTACAAACCATTAATGGGTGAGTTCATTTTCAAAAACAAGGTCAGAAAACAAGGGTGAAAAGTGAATCGTAAATGAGCTGAATATATATATTCTAATGTAACAATGTATATATTAGTCCTGATGACAGTAACTGTGTTACTGAAACTAGGCAGCTGTAAGTAACAATAAATATCTTACCTGTCATTGTGCCAAAAAATGTTGGTTTTGTGTTTTTTAATACAGTAGCACAGTGAGCCTGAAAATAAATTATGTTTACGACACTTTTGAATGTATGCGAGATTTCACAAGTACTTAAATAACAACTAATGAAATAGTAATACTTCTGGAAGATGAAATTTACTTCATCAGGATGATGCTCTTTGGCTTGATGAGCAAATAACTGCTTTGAAATGTTTAAGAAATAATAATAATCAGATATTAAATTGATGTTCTCATATGTCCACTACATGAGGCTAAACATATATCAATTTAATGAATTATCATGGTTTAATATGTTACTTAAAAGTTTGTAATGAAGTTTTTATATAAGTTTTGAGAGTTTTTAAAATAGCTCTTTTTTTTTATTTGCTAATTACTATCTTTAAACTTCAGTTTATAGTTACAAGTTCTACATTTCAAGAATCACACAATTTCTTAAAATCTCACAAAGTTACAAATTAAACTTAATAACAGCTATTTCATATAAGTATTTAATAACAAAACCAAGATTTTATAACATATCTTAACTCACTAACCATTGCTTTAAACATACTTTGTTACATCTAGGTTAATCATCTGTTCTGTATTATGTTTGAATTCAAATTGACCCATTTTTTTGGAAGAACTGTAGACTGTGTCAATAAATCACATACAGAAAATAGAAGAAAAATTTGCTTTTAACCCAGAGGTCACTATAAGAATGTTAGATTATGTAACTGAATGCTTGAACTAATGTCAACCTTCTTCACTCTCCCATTCCTAAGCCACATACTTAGTGAAGTGACAGAAAATATTTGGACTTGGATTAGATGCTTTTACAAGGTTAAATTAATGTCAGATTGAAAGAAGTATGTTCATTTATACATTTACTGAGGTTATGTGAACATAAACAGTTGGGAAATATTTAAATTACACTAGTTCAGATTTCAGGAGGCTATAAGTTGGAAACTCCAAGGTATTTTGTAAAACTATTAAACATTAGAAATGTTGACAATTTAAAGAAGCACTCTGATTCAAAATTCCCAATATTTAAACAGGATATTGTTTTTTTATCAAACATATAATGTTTGCATTTTATAACTGAGATTTGTATATTTTCTATCCTGCAATATTCACACAAAGACAACTAAACATTTTTAATCATACAGTATCACAAGTCTTTGTAGAAACTTTGAGTATTCAACATAATAACAACAAATATTAATATATATTTGTGTTCATACATAACCATTAGTTTCTAACTCCTAAAAATATAAGTTCCAAGCAGTAAATAATTAAATAATCACATAAACACATCATTATTTTATTTTGAATTTTTATAATGTACAGATATTGAAACAAGCATCAAAATGGACATGACTTTATAATATATGAAAAATATTATTAATTGGTTTTAAACTCCATTATACAAAATATGAAAAGCATAAAAAGAATAAATAATAAAAAGTTGTTTCATTACATATTCAAGCAACTATAGTCATTTTTTAACTCTTATTTAAGCGTAAGCAACAGAATGCATGCATCTCATAGGAGTCATTTATAATGCCTTTGAAGTGGGTAACTTCAAAATATGTAATTTAGCATTTTAATAAAACTTTATATAGTAGCAACAGATGCTTCAGTCTCAGAATTTCTAAATATGTAACAATATTTAGGTACACTAAACATTTTCAATACATAAATTATTAGTAGCAGAATATAAGCCATTTCCCCTGAACAAACTTCTGGAGTACTTAATAATATTTTAAAATACTGACTAACTACATACAATAAGAATAGTGGCATTGCATATTTATTAAGAAAGTCATTATTTTTAAAAACATTTTACACAACTGAGAAATTAAATGTTTACTTAAAGGGACATACACAAACCTGAAAAATAGTATTGCTCATTTGAGATATCATGGGTAAAGTTTAGAGATGTTACTCTTCAGTTTCAAAAGTTCTTTTGGGGCCACTTTAACTGTCACATAGATAAGCATCAAGTAATAGAGAATATGGGATATTGAGAAAATTTTTAATTGTTTTGTCGCTACAGTTAGCATTTATTTGTAACTTTAATAGTAACTGTTTTCATGAAATCATAAATAACACACAAGGTTACAATAGACACACAATTAAAATGTTTAGAAATGTATATCTATTTTAACCTTGTGTGTTATTTATTATTTTAACATTATGCACAAGTGCTAAGAAAACAATACTTTTTTTTTATAAAAGAAAACATTTATAGGTGAAAAGATATTTTGCTTGATTTCCTTTAAATAATGACTATACAGTAAACTTCTTTCAATGTGCTTCTTTTACAATGAGTGTGTCCATATTTCAGTGCTGTTAATGTTCTTTTATTAGAATATCAGTTTTAGATTTATCTCAATAGAAACATTCATTTCTAACAGCTGATTACTTGTAAACAGTAAATCTATCACAGGTAAATAAGCAATGATTTACTTAAATCAAGAATAATGTATTTTAACTCATGTGTAAATAACAAATGCTATAATAACTGGTGAATACAACACCTCAAAAATGTGCTTAAGTACCAAACAGTAGTTATCAATACATCTGTTTGGAAGATGGAAGGCAGAAACAAACCACAAAGTTGCTTTTCATAAACAAATAGATCCTTTACAGGTACTTGATTGGTGCTATATGGGCACTGTAATCTTTAACAACCAAATAATGAGAGACAGCATACCAATGCTACTAAACAAACCATATGAGTTGACTCCATATGGTAGCAAGTCCTCCTGTTGTTCATAAAAATCTGAACCTTAACAAATACTTTGCTGGAAAATATGGGCACTCTAAACTTTAATAACCTCAAAATGAGTGATTCTTAGCTTACCAAAGATACTAAACAACATGTGAACTGACTCAGTGAGTAATCATTTGATTTATACATGGCACTGAGTACTGTTGTTATACAAATGAGTCCTACTTCATCACTTCCTGCCATCTCAAGGATTAGTGTATAGGGTATCCTGACCATAAAAAGTTAATTTTTTTTTATTTGAAGATTTCACTGTTTCTTTCTCTCCCTACTGGTAAAAGCTGTAAGTACACCTAAATTTTTCACAGCCTTCTATGTTACCTTTAAATTCAGTAAGACAGTTGTTATGAAAAATTAATTATGATTAAAACAAGCAATATATATTTTAAACAACAGATATGTTATAATGGTGTATTCTACATTATTACCAACTATTCTTAAATGAATTAATTTCCAAATAATTTTAGTGTTGCTTTTATCACTTAAACCCAAGGCTAAATTCAAAACAGGTTAAATTTTTACATTCAATTTAGCCATAAAAAACAAGCAAAGTCAAAATGAAAATTTACTTTCTTAATTTCCTTTTTGACCCTTTGTAAAGCTTTGGAAAATTTCAAGCATATAAAATTGTGAACTTAGTCTGAACACTATGTGATTCACTTTTGATTACTTTCAATTCTTGATTGAGTATACAAATCTGGGTTAAATAAGAATAAATTTGTTTTGGTTCTATCTTGGTTACAATATATTAAAATGATTTTTTTTTTTTGAATATTTAATCGTAAATTAATTTGTTTTGGTTGAACTGTGATTCTAAACCTGGATAAGTACTTTTAACCCTTAATATATTTTGTTTTGTTCAACCTTGACCTGTACTTATATTGATTCTTATATCTGAATCTTGTTTTTTCTTAACACATCTTCCAGAAAAAAAAAAACAATGAAAAAAAAACCACATAGTTTCTCATAAACAAATGACAAATACTGTTGCATGTAAGTAGATTACAGAGGTCATCTCAAAATAATTATATATGTAGCTTAAGTTATTCTACATACCAACAATTCTTTTCAGTTCTTCACATTCCCCTAGATCCCCTGGTAAATTGACAACACCTCCTATAAGATTCTTCCCTTGCTGACCTACTGGTAGAGTCGCTATGTTACTTTCCTCCAGGTCAAAAGCAGTGTTTACTATTCCTGACCTTGGAATTGTCTGTGGTGTACTTTCAAGTGCTTGAAGCTTTCTCGAACCACGCAGGGATGACCTGAGGAACTCCTCTTCCTGTGCTATTCTTTCTTCTTCTTCCTTTCTTTTTCGAATATCTTCCTATAATTACAGTCTTAAAAGTACACACTTGAACAAAAGCCATAGCTTATTTTTTAACATAAAATGTTAAAAAAAAGAGCAAGAGCCACACATATTTTATATGAAGTTACAATTCAGAGACTTAGGTATTTAAACACATCATATAATGCTTTTTTCTTATGTGGTTAAATATAAATAAGTCAAAACTTAAATTGTCATATTTCTCAGACCATCAAATCAACAAACTTTTCTTATCACATCAAAAAGTAGTCAATTTCATATTTACTCAGTAATTGTTTAAAGCAAACTAAAACTTTGGTGCAAAGCCAATTATATGAATAGTCACACAAACTTATCTGCACATGTGTTTCTCAAATACACTTCTGTAAATTTAGTTGCAGCAAGCTTTTTTTTCCTACATCTTTTGATTTGAAAGTTAACTAACATATAAACTTTTTAAAACTTCCCAAGAAAATATATATCAATTCCTTAGTGTAAGAATTAATAATACAACATTATATTTATATGTTTATTTTAATTTTAACACTGTTTATTTTATTTATGTATATATATATTCATTACTATTTTAATTAAGTTTACCAGCATTCACAAAAGTGGCAAACCAGCAAGCTAGTCTTCTTTTCCTTGGAATGGTCAAGTAACCAGTGTCAACAGGAGAAAACTACATTAGTAATTCTAAGAACCAAAGAGGAGCATATGTTATAATATGCCATACAGTAATCTACAAACTGATTAAATTTACCAGGGAAAAAACATACCATATGATTTAAAATAGTTTGAATACAGAACCTAAGTAGTTAATACAAAGTATAAGCTATCAAATCTAGAGTCAAGAGCAAAAAGAGAACAATTTTCATTAATTTTATAAACATTGCTGCAGTACGAAACTTAGTAAAGACTGCTTACCTGATATTTTCGAATCCTTTCAAGCCTTTCTTCTTCCACATTCTTTCCCATAGAAACTTCAGTAACACCATTCATATGTAACCTAGAAGTCTGAGGGGAAACTGTCCGCCCATTAACATGGGGTTTGTACACTACACTGCCACTTTTCATACTGCCAGTATCTAATTGTACCCCATATAATGGTGTGTGTACTTCATCCACATCTGATGAAATTCTTGAATCTTTGGAATATGGTTCCTGTTGTTTTTTTCTTCCTGGGTCAAAACTTGTTGTTCTTGTTGGTGGTTCTGGTGGTACACCTTTTTTAAACTTTGACAAGTCTGTGGGAATTACCACTGGTTTTGGTGGAGGATAGCGTGGTGGTGCTTTCCGAACACCTACAAAAGAATCTGGCACATCTACTGCCATTTCTCGATGAGGACCTTGTTCTACCTCCATCTTGTATTTTGATTCCTCTAATAGTGTTGCTTCTATGGTTGGTGACACTGTAGTAACAGTACAGTCTTTCTCCTTCTCCAATATTACTGTGTTTTCAGAAAAAGTTTTATCTGTACAGAGAGGCTTAGAATGATCTTTTCCCTGCTGAGAACAGAAAGTTACTACATCAGGTATATTGCTTTCTAAAGCATTTGTTTTACTTTCTAAAATTTCCTGTTTTAGTTCTAGCTCTTGATCATGACCTTCTGGCTCCTGGTCTTTCTCTTCAATGTCTTTCACTGATGATACTGGTTGACAATGACCATTGGCACTTGGATATTGATCATCACCAAAGCTTTCTCCTCTGCTGATAAAATCATCTGACAAATATTTACTGTTGTTTACTTTATTCTGCTTGATTCTCTCTAAAGTAGCACTCTGTAATTCAGGCACAGATGTAACATAAATTGGATTATTTTCAATCACACCATTTAGTTCAGGACTACTGTGAGGACATTCATTCAGTTCTTGAGACAATTTGGTCATGTCAACAGGCTTGATCTTTTTGAGGGCTGACAACCTTTCCAAACGTTCACGAGCCTGCTGCTCCACAGCAATGACAAAGGCATCTTGAACATTACTATTCTGAGCAAGATCTTGAGCTAAGATATTACAATAAGGTTTTAAGAACAATTAATTAAAAAAGGATTGAAAAAATGAATGCTGATATAAATGTTTTTTACTTTTAAAGTGACTAGTTTTTCTTTTTAACTAATATATATATGCATCAGCAAAACCTTCTCTCAGGTTTGTTTTAATAACAGTATTCAAATTTTCATCAATCCCTCAAATGCTAATATTTATTCTTCAGTGCTGGGTTATTACAATGAACAAATTTAATAGTTCCGGGATTCATGCTACTAGTATTTAATTATATTAAAAATTCTTATTGTGTTTTTATACTACATTTCATATTATTTCCAAAACTGAAGAAACTGTACACATCATACAAAACATTAACTCAAAAGCATAGAAATGTTATATTTTATGATCTTACTTTTTATATCACTTTATAAAAATTGTGATTAAAAATTTCTTTTACAATGTAAATATAATTTCAAAATCAAGAAATGATAAACTCATTTTAAAACAGTATTTGCACATCCTGGACATAAGACGAAGTAGTGCAATTACGAATCTATATGTATATTTTTAACTTCTAATAAAGAAATAGTTGAAAGGATAGAGGTTGGGGAACATATGGATGCAAGTGATCATTGCTCATTTAGATTTGATGCTTTGCTGCATATAGAGACAAGGAATAATGAGATATCCAAAATTTCAAAAAAGCAAATTTTGAAGAGATGAGTCATGAATTATGTACTGTGAACTGTTCAACTGAATTAGTTGGAAATACTGATCATTGATAAATGTGGAAAAATTTTGAAAGTAAATTCTTAAATATTCAAGATAGGCATGTTCCTTATAGACAAAAAATGGTGGCTGGAAGTAAAACACCAGGTTATCTCATAAAGGGTAAAATAAAAAAAGCATTATAAATATAAGAAATTTAAATTCACTGCAATGGTGAGAAATTTGGAGGACTATAGAAGATAAAGAAAATTGATCATACAGGAAATTAGGAAATAAAGAATACTATATGAAAAAAGTTGGTTGAATATATAAAACAAAATAGTAAAGATTTCTTCAAATACTATAAGGGTAAGCAAAATGTTAGAATGGGAGTTGGGCCTTTGAGGAATAATACCAGAAGACTAATATCTGATGATTATGGGATGGCTGAGTTATTAAAGTTAACGTTTTTCTAAACTGAAAATGTATTTCCAATAGATAATTACCTTCTCTTGCAAATAGCTTTTGTTGAATACCCTCTAGATGTGCAAAATTGTATCACTAGCCTTGATACTCCCATCTGCCCTCACATGTACTCACATGAGACATCTGCATACTATCATGCAAATGATCATGCAGCAGCCCTCCATCAATATGACTGTGACACAACTCTTATCATCACTAGCACCCTCTCTTCTCTGCAGCCATTAATTACTCCAAGATTGAGCAGTAAATACAGAACCTGAACCTGAAGTGAGGAGGTTGGGTGGAAAATGTGAGAAGAGGTAAGTATCTATCAGAAATACATTTTCAGCTTAGGAAAATGTTAACTTCCAATACAATATCTTGCCTCTCTCGCAAATAGCTAAAATTCCCCATTGAGTTGGCAGAGGGCCTGGTGAAAAGATGATCCCTGTGTAGAAAGTACCCAAAGGAAGACCATGGGGGTGCACGAATAAATGGAAAGCAACACCCCCATGAGAGACTGCACCATCTATGAGCCAGGTATACACATTCCCTACATAAAAATGTCACAATAGGATCAGAAACAAAGAAGGGATCAGCCCCACATTATCATTTGTTTGTATATTTGAGAGAAATGTCACAATGGATTACCTGTTGTGTTCACTGTGTAAAATCAAACTCTGGATTTGAGTATTTTAAGTCTGTAAACCTAACTCAGTCCCACTAGATGATTTTAAAAAGGACATAGGACTGGTGCTGTCAAACTCTAGATAGTGACCCATTTCCTCTGAACAGAATGCCAGTCCATCACAGCTCAACTCTTAACTAAGAGCTGGTACCCAACATACAGCTGAGTAGACTAAGAATAAGTGAAGTAAAGTGTCTTACTCAAGAACACAGCAGTATAACGGACCAGCCTTGAATTCATGACAATCAGACTACAATTCAACAGCATGAATCTACTGAGCCACATTGCCCATTGTAAGCATGGAAAAGGAAACCGAAGTAGTGAGGTTCAATTACCAAAAAGGGACAAGCAACTCCAAACACTGCGAATCTAAGTAGGGAAAGTCAGAACAATGACATACCACAGCATGTTTGTCTAAAATATGTGGAATTCGAGGCATACTGACACCCAAACTCAACTGGTTCCCAAAACGACTCACATAAACCCCCAATATCCAGAGAGGGAAGAAACACTAAATACTGACCCAAGGGCTCGTCAATGAAAAAGGCAGGAGTAGAATAATAGGAAATGGGAGATAAGGATAAAACATAACATACGTGATTGATTAAATCTAGAAATGGGGAAGGAGGCCTGTGAGGCATAGGCAGGAGGGGAAAAGAGGCTGTCCAAATCCTCATTGTCATGTTCAGACAAGCCCTCGCCTGGTATGTGAAGACAATCATCAGGTGACTCAGAAAACTGCATAAAAGTAGCTAACTCTCTACAAACCAGAGTCTTTACTTTCTGAGCAAATAGAACTTGCTCAGTTGCCACTGAAGTGGCCAGCAACCCAGCTGTAGTAGAAACAATACTTGTGGGAGATGCCATGTGGAATTGTGAGTGCATTACCAGGGGAGTTAACTAGGAAAAATTGTTCTCCAACTTTTTTCTCAAACTGCAAAAAAGTCAAAAATTTACAGTAAAAAAAATATGTTCTGCCTAATAATCAGCAGTGAACTTGATCAACTGAGAACATTTTCAGTCAGAAGACACGAGCAAAAACAAGTCTTACCAGTTAGACTGCCAATTGAGAAGTGATTAAAGGCTGCACAAAAGAGAGAGCACTACGATGAATAGAATTGTGTGACACTCTTATTGGTGGAGGGTTATTACGTAGATTCAGAAAAATTATATATCCTAGATAATAAGAGGAGAGAAATGTTTGACCTCCTTCGAATCGTTGGAAGAAGCAGTACAAGTAAAATATAAATAAATAAAAACAAACAACATTACTATTATCTAAGTAACATTAATGATGCACCACCATTTAGGTTTTAAAATTTTTTTTGATTCAGGTTTTAACTTTCTACATGAATTGTTTAACAGGTTTCTTCCATTGTAAAATTAGTTGCACATTTTATCACATAAGACCATGACAATATACTATGTAAATATCACACATCACAAGCTGTACTATGTCACTGTACAGATACACATACAGTAAAATATTGTATTGTACGAACATACCCTGCTCTCTTTCTTTTAGCTTAAAAAATTGAACAGGTTTACTTTATATAAATTTTCAAACATTTTTACATACACATATGCATTCAGAATACATACTGTATTCCTCATGCAGTTCAATCGACTATGGTAGGTCTTGACATTTTCTTATGGGTTACACAATGTAATAGGCTATTACCTACTGGTGTTACTGAACTTTCCCATGGAGGTGTCATTAGAGAATCCTTTAGCCTTTACTCTAGTGTTTTCAAGTAGCATTTATCTCATGCACAACTTTAGTAATACCTGGAAGCTATGTCTTCCTTGTTTTTCTCATGAGATGGAATGTACACAATGGGAGTATATGATAGTTATTTCTCTCAATCTAAAGCAGTTGACCATATTCCCGAGATGTTTGCATCACAAAATGCTCATACACTGCCAAAGCCTACTCAGCTGCAAACATTCTGGTAGTTTGGTACAGCTATAATAGATACCAGTGGATGTGACGAGCTTCCCATTGCCTCTCTTGATAGTTGAGTTATTGTTTCCGCTGCCAATACCTCTCCAAAGATGGTACTTTGAATAGAAGGACAAAAATACCTCCTTAAGTTCTAGCTGTTAAACCACTATAAATGGAATTATCCATAGCATAAATGAAATGTGCAGTTTCCTCAACCATTCATTTAGCAGATGCAGAAGGGTCAAAAGGTAGCTTCCACTGCTCTGACTTCAGAAAACCAACAGTGAGCTTGTGTCCAAAGGTGTGGTGGTCAGTCCAGTTCATGAAGAACTAGGTGGTGATTGCATCCATTAAAGTAGAGACTCAGATCAAGTTTCTCAATGAAGGAGCTGCCAAAGCACTGGTCTACTTTGGGTGAAGTCAACACACTGGCCAATTGATGCAGATTTATTCATGTGAGTAGAGAGGCAAGTCTCAGACTCCATCTTTTATCTGTTACCTACAGGTTAATGGTAGTTGTATCTGATCTTGGTTTAAATACTCTGATTCTGTGGATGAAGTTTTGCTTGTGTAAAATACATCAACAGAAAACAGAGGACTGTATATGCACATATTAAGGAGGAAATCACAATATTCCCAACTGCACAAGTTGTGTTTCATGTGTACTACAGACTTAGTCTGGTGCATTATGGCAATCTGCTGCAATGATTGAATCAGTGCATAAAACATGCTGTTGTTATTCAGAAAGCAGGCTGCACTTCCTCAAACAATAATTTTTCACAAGATGATGCTCAACTGGAATTATGAACCATCAGCTATTTAGCTTCCACTTGGAATAATAATTGGCATAGTGAGTTACGTGAAACTAACTATACAGCTAAGATTGCTTCTGTCACATCACATTTGAGAGCTAATGTACAAAAGACAGAAAGCTGGAGATCAGTGTTTGATCATCTTCCAAACAATTTGTTTTTAACATAACAACAAGAACACAGGGAATTGCTACCTGAATATGGAAATTTCTTTGTAGGGACCAAATAGCTATTTGGGTTAACTTGCACCACATAGATAGAGGGATGTGTATCTATAAAACAACTGCCAAGTAATCTTTCCTGGAACACTTAAGGTATAGCTAGCTTTAAGATATAACGAATGTTGATGAACTGAATCATATTGCCTTTAGAGTGATTGGTTATCTCCAGTTGTAAATG